CATGTTGACAAGATGCCTGCCTGTCTACCACCCTCCACCTCCATTACTGGCTCAAGGAGACTGGATCGTTACTGTAGTGAGGACAGGGTGTACGGTCCCTGTGTCCGTGCTAGACTCCAATAGTGGTTCCATGCGCTCAGTGTGAAGCAGACTAAGATCCAACCTTCACCTTGTGTACGCTTGATTCCCCCAAATACAGCGTTCTTGTGTTTGCCTGTGAAGGAGTGTGGGCCGGCTCCGTTTGTGAAACCTGACTCCCATCTACATTCCTCCCAGCTTTATTCCGTCGGGTTTACACTGGGTATGGGGTGTGTGGTTGGAGCTGTGGGTGGTGAAGCCTTTAACCACGCGTGGATCCTCTGTAAGCGCAGGCGTCCTGTGGCTATCCTTTCGAGGCCACAGTGACATGCTATCCGTAACCGGATGCCGTTAACCATATAGTTTTGTTGTGTTAGTATGTAAAGCGTGAGAAGAGTCATTAAAAATACTTCATAAAAGGTTGGTACACGCATTGGCCTCTTTATTAATCATAAAATCAACAAACGAATTCGTTTAAATCCGATCGGAAAGCCAACCTTTTGCAAAGATAATTTTACGACCAGTCGCCAATTTATTATAGCGCGTCTTAGATCTTTCGACTCTTAGTCGGTACGGATAAACGTTCTTCACAGATGGTACCCCACACGTACTGTGTAGGCAGTTGATTTCATAACGTTTCTGCTTAACGAAGTCTAGCCCCCAGACGTACTCGCACGCTAAGAATGGAGACGAATACGCGCAACCCAGCACGACTGTACTGTGACCCGAGTGAGATAGATGACCGGCTCTTAGCAAGACTTTTTTTTACTGGCTTAGCCAATTCGAAGCATGCCTTCTACCCCTTTCATTTTATGGGTCAATAGAATAGCATAAATTATTTAGAGAGGTGAATTTTCTCAAGGCGCATGGGTTGTCGTCCAGTGGTTGTATCCTGACTTATTCTCATTTAGTGTCCGTATGAGTTTGTGCGCTAACTGCCACAGGAACTGCGTAGCTCTGGTGGTTCACTTCGGCGTGACACAATAGGGGCAGCAGTGCCATGAGGAAAGTTCAGTGGGTTCACTGCAGCGTACACAACGGATGCATATGTCCTGAGTAGAGCTCATTTGGTCCTGTGTCATTTGGCATCTGTATCTTGAGGATGGCTCGTTTGTTTTCAAACAGTTTATGTCGCCGTATGATGTTTATGTCTGAGTTGAGCCCGGCGAGATCTGCGCAAGTGTAGCGGACCTATGCCAGCTCCGTAGCGGGTTGACGTCGCACTGTGGTAGACCGTTTATGTCAGCATTTTGTCAAGAATGATTTATTCGACACCCTTTAGGGCTTGGCTACATTACATTGTTTGGTGTTGAAGTAGTACTGGCAATTCTACAGTCATCAGTTATATGGTTGAAAACATAATGTATATAAAATGACTAGACGTTTGGCCAAGAAGTCAGCACATTGACTTGTGGGAAACAGGAAACAGTCTGTCCTGACCGCTCGCTTCATCTGAGTGTAGTTACTTCAGTAATCTGCACAGTTTCGCTGTGGACCTAAGGCAGTGTGTCTGTGGACAATTTCGGCACCGTTCATCAATGACAACCGGTCCCTTGCCGTTTCCGTGGTTGTCGTGCTTTTAATTCTCATTGTGACATCAGATCTACAGCAGCGTAATGTCTTCCTTTGATGGATTGCATGATAGTGTCTCCGTCTCCACAGGCCTTACCGATGCTCGCACACTGACTTTTTTCGGTGTGCCTATCTTCAGAGGCGGTGTGACGAGTGAGGTTGTCGGGTGATTCCCATACATGTCCATCATCACCATCCTCATCATCAGCAACAACAGCAGCACGTCAGACATTTTAACTGATGCTTCGCTGCCGTACAACCACGGTGACCTACGGTACAAAGAACAATAGGAGGGTGCGAAAGAGGGCCTGGCATAAAACCTTAATGCTCTAAACAAACACACAGGATCAGGGCGCCTACACCTTGTCAACAACATGCCATCATAAACAGCGGTCGATCATACGGCATCGGTGGGAAAGCATCCTTGCGGCTTTCACTGTCCCGCGTCATTATCAACCATTACCCGGCAGATAGCTCAGCACAAAACACAATATAAACAGGCAGTCCGACTACGAGACGACAACAGACACGCCATTGGTTGACTCCGAGCCATGTCCTGTAAGGTCTCAAGCTAAGCTTAAAGCGGGTCACGTGGACTCCTGCCTGGAAAGCGAGACGGACCGACCGCACCTCGTTTGGTTGTCAGTGATTTCATTTCCCACTGCCAAGTCAACTTTTTTTCATCTCGGACCTTGCGCCACCCCACAGCTGGTAAGCAAAGCAGGGCCATCCTCGGTAAGCGGTGACTGGTCATACGTTGTACGTGGTATCTGTTGTCCTAAGGAACTAGTCTGGTTATCACTGGTGTTGCTTACTAAAGAACGGGGTGCCAGAGAAATATACCGCCATCTTACGAGTACTTTGCCTTCATACATCCGGCAGAGTGAGGGTCTATGGCAAGCTTTCCTCGCAATTCACTGTCAATAGCGGTGTGCGACAGGGCTGCCCTATGTCCCCATTCCTCTTCAACTTCGCAATCGAAGACGTTCTGTCGAATGCTCTAGAAGGTTTCCAACATTTTGGATTAGAGCTTCTACTGGGTGAGCGCGCGACCGACTTAGATTATGCTGATGATATCGCCTTACTTGGTGACGATCCTCCGAATATGCAACTCATTCTGGATCGTTTGGCGGTTGAAGCATCTAAGTATGGCATGAGTTTCGCCCCATCGAAGTGTAAAGTATTGCTCAAGGATTGGCTTTCACCTGCTCCCGTACTCACTCTCGAAGGTGCACAACTTGAACAGGTAGATAGTTTCGTCTACCTTGGGAGCTGTTTTTCTGCTGATGGCACTATCAACAAAGAACTTTCTCTTCGTATAGCTAAAGCTCGATCGGCATTTGTCAATCTGAGGCAATTGTGGCGTCGTCGCGACGTCTCATTCTCACCAAAGGGCCGCGTTTACAGCGCATCTGTTCGCTCAGTATTGTTGTATGGGTGCGAGTCCTGGCCGATTCGCGTGGAACACATGCGTCGTCTTTTTACCTTCGATAGCGGTTGCTTAAGGAGGATCGCTCGTGTTTGGTGGCAACACCGAATTAATAGTAATGACGTTCGACGTCGCATCTTGGGGAATGCGAGTATTCCCCTCAACAAACTGGTTTTGTTGCGCCAGTTGAGATGGTTCGGTCACGTTTTTCGCATGGCACCTGTGTGTCTACCGCGTCGCGCTCTATTTGCTCGTCAAGCACCTGGCTGAAGGCGATGGCGCTGTGGTCAGTCTTCCACGTGGCGGTAGCACATGAAATCGCTGACGTCGTGTCTAGCCGCTGTTGGATTCGTACGTCTTCCAGGATGAGGGCCCAAAGATGAGGAGTGCCAATGGATTAGCACTCTCGAAGACATGGCGCGCGACCGGAATCAGTAGAAGCATTGTGGAAGTATTGTATTGATTCACATGTTTAATACTACAAAGATTGAAAATGACAAAAAAGAGAAAAATCGGTCTGTGTAAAACAAACTAAAAATGTTTTGTTCTACTTTTTGTCAAAATGTTCCATTCCTCCTTCGGCATATTAGTTGAAGTGTGTTGCTCACCTTCAACTAGCATGCCATGATGATTGTGTCGCGATGACTCTTGCTTATCTGCTGATCTCCATGGTTTTATGCTGGCTCTATGTCTAGTTAATATACTATTGAGATTACATACATACATACATCCTCGTTGCTGTTGCCATCCGACACCAGCAGTGCTTCACCGACAGAGATGATCAAAGACTTGAAGGTACCGCAGGTCCTCAGATTGAAGGGTCCAAATCTCCCTCCCATAGAGTAGGACGGCCCTCAATGTGGCCTTCTAGACGGAGCGATACCTTTTCCTGACGTCACTGATGTCGCATATTCAAGTAGGCAGTTCTAGCTTTTGACATGCCTGAACGGACTTCAGTCGTTATGCGCCCATGGTTGCCCGTGCAGCTGCCAAGCAAAGTGATCAACTGCCTAGAATTCCTCGCGATCAAGAGTCAAGGTGTCATCAAGTGGCTGGTGGTCTTGTAGCAGCACTTTGCACTTTTAATGTGCGAAATGCATGTCAATTGGTGAGATCACTAGAGAGATTATTCATAGTTGATTGTGCCGCCCCAACATCGTCAAAAAGCAGGATAGCATCGTCCGCTTATTTAGGGTCAATTTGGTTTACAACAAGAAATACATCTGCCTGTAACGTGAGGCTCCGCAAGAGAACACTATTATGCAGTCCATGACGAAGTTGAGCATGAATGTTCGCTGAATGTGATTGTCGTTTGCTGAATATGTGATTCATACGACACGAATCTAAGGTGCAACCACAATTCTTCATTGTAGCAAATCTCATCTGCCGTATGTATCAACTTTGACAACTTACCGTTTCAATAATCTTCGAACTTTCTCCCGGAAATTGCGTGGTACCTACTGCTTCTGCGTTTATATCTAATGCGCGAACAGCTGCGAGTCTTGAATGTTCTCCTGTTGGAACCTTGGTATGGCCCACTGCTAGGCCGTTATCGTCTGCTTTTCTTGGTGTTTCTATGCTACTGCGCCTTGTCACAATAGTACACGCTTTTGACCTCCACAATGCTTTCACCTTATATTACTCTTATATTTCCCTTCTTTCTCTAGCCACTTTGCATTTGACTAGTGTGTAGCACGAATAACCAGCTAACGGGTAAATCGTTTGAAGAAATAGTGCTTCGTCCGTTTCATGATCATGTTATCATTTATTTATGTATTCCGCGCTACAGCATGCGCAAGTTACTGCTTAATGTGTACAGCTTTCAACTCGGACGATGTGCTACATACTCCTCCTGGGCACGTGATAAATGCTTTTCATTCTTACTAACCTCGTGCCTCTACGTCAAATCTTTCTTCTTTAGCCAACCGTTTCTCCATCGGACCCAACTATGACCTCATTGACCCAAGGTTCTAGCTTATCCAACGCGATCGCAGTCACTTCACCCATTGACCTCATGGGCATCGCCGCTGGATCCAGTGGGTCGTCCGATAGTCAACCCATTGATCTCAATCTCAGTCGTTGTAACACCCCCTTATCGCTTATACAACCAGATTCTGTGGACCTTTGCGAGTTTCTGGCCACTCGCGAGGAAAATGGATCGGAGATCAGCATTGATGATTTATTTCTGGCCTCTACCGAGTTGGATGATCCGAATTTCAGGTTCACCGCTGGAATCAAGTCTGACAAGTCCGCACCTTCGCCTGGTGCACAAAGTTCAGCCAGTAGTGAGGCTACCGTGTGAGTGTTTTGTATATGTTTCCTTGTTTCTGTTTATGTCGCCTATGAAGTGGTCGTTTTTCCCACCAGTTCAGCTTATCCTACGTGCACCTTTTCATCCACCATTTCAATTGTTTTTTTTTTCTGTCCACAAATATTTTAGTGGTATATTCTCCGCAGTGGCTTCTTAATCCGTTAGTTCTCCCAGATGGCTGTTTCGACCTGTTGGGTCTTATCAGTAGTGCGTAACCATCGGATCCATCAGGCTCCGAACTCATGAACATCAGAGCCCTGAACCGCCGGTCAGCAGATTATACCACTGAGCTCTATGGGGGACAGCGGCGGACCGTCATTATATAAAGGCTAACTACAATATACCTCGTCCCATCCTCCACTGCCACACAAGTTACCAACGTCGCAGAGAACATAGTTGTCCCCGTAAGATGCGACTTCCACTAACTGTAGCTATATACCACATGGCATGTAGAAACTGTTAGAGCGACTATTTGACGTACTTAAGAGTAGGGGATTTTTGATGTAATTAGTTGCGATTTCGTCGCAATAGCTTTCAAATCAGATAGTACTCCACATACTCGGAAAAGCACTGGAAGGCCGTTTCGATTATTTTCATCAAAATCCCCTGCTCATGCTTAAGTTATTTTACGCTATACTATACTACTCTGATTGGCGCTAAATACCAATTGCTTCATTTTTTGATGCCACTACTGTGAGAACCAGGCTTCTTACGGTTGGGTTTGCTTCCTGGACTGGTGTCTACCCAGACCCTTTCTAGATTACGCATGCTTCTTGTATCATGACTACACCAACAATCGTGCGATCCTCTTGCAACACTTTCCAAAAGTGCGGACATTCGCGAGTTTGCATATCTAGCAATTTACTGTTTCATTCTAGAAGAGTGTGACGAGCTCGCATGCGTGCGGAAAATTTATGCATTACTTATGATTGGCAGCACGTTCTCCTTCTGGTACACCGCGCCACCTCACTCCGCACCTGTCAGGTTGGCATTGATAGACATCGCACGGTATCGTACATCATCTTACTGGGTTTCGGTGAATTCCGCACAACTTTGGGATTGAAATGGAACTCGGATCCTAGTGGCCAACGGCTGACAGCTTGATCGCTAAGCCACTGAGCTCCATTAGCAATGCTTAGCACAACGGTTAGGAATTCAAAGTTGCACTTTGGGTTACCCTCGTGTGGCTGCATTGCGACAGGTAATCACTATTAGGAGAGGAAGTAGCACCGCCAAATTCCCTCCGCTTTGGATACGGTCCTGGTGATCAGAATGACCTAGGTCTACTTCAAAATATACGGAGATCTCAATAATGATTGCTTGTCGCGATGCAACTACATGGCGAGTACTCCAAACTCCAACTTTGAATTCCTAACCGCTGTGCAGTGTTGCTCATGAATCTCAATAGTTTAGTGATCAAAGAGTCAGCCGTTAACCACTCTCGACTCAGGCTATCTCTACCTGATGAGTCCAGACGAGGATCAGTACATAAAATCGGTAATGGGGTGTCATGAGCAACACCGAAACCCCTCCATTTGGTAGTCACTTCCGCTTTATTAAGCTAATTTGGTAACTACTACGTACTTGTTACATTTGTACTGATTCTTATATTTACGTCGTACTTCTGGCTGCATCCCCCTAGTCTTGTCGCACATTCGATGTAACATCGATCGAGTAATCGACTAACATTTGCTTTGTTTGTGGACAGTCACGTGACGCGTATTCTTAGTGACCGAATCTCGAGGCCTATTATCTTGTTTGATGTGCCGGTGCTTACTGCACGTGTGCGCCTATGTGTATGCCGCCTCACACACACAGTTTGCAATCCTCCACGAATTAGCATTTTCTGCCATCTTTTGGTGCCAGAACTTGTGTTTTTGTGTAATACCAGCATTCCATTACGTGGCGAAATGTCTATTGAGGCAGTTTTTCGATTAAGTAGACATCATCTCAACATACTTGGACAATTGGTACCGATGTGTTTGACAAATATTTTGACTCTGCGCTTCTTTCAGCAGATTCATTAGAATTGGTTCTTTCATGGATTATATCTAGATTATATCAACAGCTCATAGCAGGAAAGGACAACACAAAAGTTGGAGAAACAGTTGACCGGCTACTTCAGGTACATGATGTCAGCCAAACTTATCACGAAGAGCGAATTCGGAAAGCTGAAGCCTTCAGGTGAATACCTACCAAGATTATGTGGCCTACCTAGTTTGCAAGGAAGGCGCCCCAATGCACTCATTCTTATATGTAGTGGGTCCTCCCCAGCTTTTGTTGGCTTAATGGATGATAGAGAATTGCAGTCGTTACGGAATATGATTTGCACTTACTGTGTGTGCAATTTCGAATTCATTCAGAGTATCTGTGAACTCAACCTTACTAACAAAAGGATGATATCATTCGCTATTTACAAACATTCCACTGCTCGAAACGGGGATTACCTATGCAAGGTGGCTCGACAATCCCCCATATACGCAACTTTTCCGGAGGATTTTCTAAAGGAGGCACTACTTCGCTTCATACTAAACAGTCGGTTAAATCAAATTACTCTTACAAGTGGAAAAAACCTCCCAACTGGTTCATTAAGACTGGCACTATTCCAGTGGTCTCACCGTCCCCGCTGTTGCTAGTTACGGTCTTGGTGGCAACGATGATATCAGTCTTCTCTATCCAACCTGACTCGAAGATCGGTGCTCGTCAGACTGGCCGGGTCCAGACAATCTGTTTCCTTAAGAGTCCCTTGATTCATTCTCAATTGTCGCGATAATCTCCCTCATTCGCTATAAAATGTCACACCAAGGATATAACAATTGATCCGGCTTAACGAATCTTTTGCGTCAAACGCGAAACGTTGCCAAATAACTAAATCACCGAGTGTTCGCAAATTTCGCTGAAACCATGCCTTCTCGATCGGTTCTAAGTATATTCCAAAAAAACAGTTCTGCTATTTTCTAGGGTAATCGGTCAGCGCTCTGTCAGCAGAAAACGATAACACTAACCATCGGCTCAAATATATTTGGTGCGTCTCATCTTCAAAGTGATGGTTGTAGTGCTTCAAGTTTCTAGCTTGCAACCTCTTCCCCTATCTGGGTTTGAACGCGCTGACTGCATCTCATTCATTGAAGTGGCAACGACGTTCCAGGATTACTGTTTCAACCTTCTCCATCTCTCTGCCATGCGTTTGGCTAGAGAGACACTCCACGACTCACAACTGTCACCAGCGTTGGTGTGTTGTATCTCCAGACTGTGTGGAGCGCGGTCGATTGTAATATACGTAGCAGTGAACATCACAGGTTTAAGTCGTCTCACTGTGGTATTTACCGTACTGACGTAATCCACATTATTTGGCTCGTACTCCTACCAGCCGCCTGCCACGGATTTTGTCTGACTGTACAAAAATTGCGGAAATTGGTCTGAAAAATCTACACTCTCTGGTCTCATTGAATAAAGGTCATGCTATCGGTCACATCGGCGATCAGAATTCCTGTCTGACATTATGCGCAGTCATAGCGACACTGGCGTTGTAACTTCTCCATGTTTGCCTTGTTTTACTTCATAGCTACGTGCAAGTTTGTTGTTCAAATCCTAACTCACTGAACTCCCTGAATTAGCGTACTTTTTGAACTTATTTTTTATTGCCTTTTCTTCATGTGAGCCACTATGAAGGTTATCGGATGTCTAATTCTCTACCATTTATCGACCGCAAACAGTTTGGGTACAACATTTACACTTACCCTCTTTTCTCGCCTGTGCCCTTTCCAGCCCATTGAAAACTGATTGCGCGAATGATGTTCTTTCTCCGCAACTCGATTCCATGAATAATTCCTCTTCCAACTCTTCAAACGGAGCCCTATTTGCTTATCCTCAACAGATCACCAGTCGAGCAGCTTCATCACGGTCAACTGGGGAAAACTCCTTCTCCGAACAGTTACCACTTGATCTGCATAAATGTAACACCGACGTGGATGCATCGGAGGACCCGAACGATCTGTTCGGACTTCCTTGGGAAGAGCACGAGATCACAACGGATACGGCTAATGAGAACGAGGAACACAACAACGAAGATTTAAACTCCTTCAATATTGGACTATTACCGGCCCAAGATCGTGCCAACTTTCGCATTAAGATTTTGCCCAGACAAGATCGGACGACATTTAATAGCACGGGTCGCCATTCAGCACTAAATGGTCATAATTTTATTGTCGGTGGGTGACATTGTTTTCTTAGTGTTTTTTTCCCAATGTCTTTCACTCTTTTATCAAGTATGCTCTGATTCAACTTCTGGAACCAAAGTGACCTCACATTGAACCCCATTCTAATAATATGTGCAACTTGTAGAAATACGACACATTTATCACTAAGTAACTTCACAAACAGTTCTTCTTTTAATCAATCATTGTGAAATTAGTGGAGAAAGTCTACACAAGAGATCGATCGAGTCGATGGCCACTTGTATGTCCAAGAAGCCGGCAACAATATCTGTAGGCGTCATTAACGCTTAGGATAGTTAAACGAACGCGTAGAACACCGATCCACTGTCTCCGATTTTGATTCAGTGAATGTCGAATCCCGGAACTTGTGTGCAACCACCGGATAAACGAAGGCCACAGTCGGTGTTGAACTACGGTGCTGTTACAACAATAGCATATCATAATTACAAATTACTTCAACGATATCCTGAACAAAATAGGTACACTCAAATACTCGTCACGTCAATAGATAATAGTTTGTTCATTCAAGCACGATCATCATCATCATCATCATACACGTCAGCTAGAGGTGGGAAACACCTCACCTACTGTGCCGCAATACATAAAGGAAAAAGATAATAAATACAACAGTTGCATGCCAGCTGAGCTACTAGCAACGGATAGGCATCGTTCCGGTAAGCTACCAGCCGGCTACTAGGCAAAAAAATTATTATATTTTACGCTACAAAATGAGATCGTAGGTAGAGGGGGAGGCTAAAAGGGATGGGGAGGGACAAAGAAACTCACAGCACCAACACCACTGAGGTCGGCTTCCTGCCATGTCAGCAAGTGTATCCAGCCAAACATGTTCACTGTCTTTTGGACCCCAACCACGCAGCCATGAAGCTCCAACCGAGGCCAGCTCCGAAGTGAGAGCCTTCATTCCTCTTGATCAAGTCATCGCTTGACCACCCCTCTTCTTCCATCAACATTTCCGGCGCGCAAACAGCGCACGTCGTGGAAGCCGGTGGGCTGGCATTCGCAACACGTGGCCCAGCCATCGAAGCCTGGTGCGTGAAATGACGGTGCTAAGCGGTTCAGTTCCTTTTTCTGTGCCGTAAACAAGGCGTCGAACACGCTCGTTACTCACGCGTGTTCCCACCAGATGTGAGTCAAACTACGAAGACACCGATGGTCGAACGTAACTTGCCTCTTCATGTCCGCCGATCTTAGGGGTCAATTCAAGCACAATACAAAAAATGATTCAACACACACGGCGGGGGCATAGTGGCCTCGCCACTGGACGAATCAGGAAACAGGCAGTCAAGAGTCCAATCTCACAAAGCTAAGGTCGGTCTCGATATCTTGGAACATATTGGGAACCGATCGGGAGGTTGTCATTTCAGAAGGCTTGGTGGACGACCAGTTAATATATTTATGATGATACACAACGTTTCGCTTTTGACACAAAAGCTTCTTCAGGCGCAATGAATTAGTTTAACCTTGGCTTTTGCTAACGATCATGGCTAAGCTACATACAGAGACTAAAGTCGGTCTGTTGAGCAACAGCTTTAGAGCCGCAACCTGGCACTCAAAATCCAGACACATTGTCTCTCCTAGCACCAGAACAGACGCCGGTGATGAATGACAGTGAGTCAGACAACTGCAAACAGAGCGAGCGAGTCGATACGGAAATGGGCCAACGGACACACAATGAGCGGACTAGATCGTTAGGTCATTAATCCAACACAGAGGGAATGGCAAAATCGGTCAAATGGGTTCCATTGGAGTGCGGACAAAGAAACAAGGCAAATAAGGAAGGTCACAAAGGTAATGTGGGAGGACGACAAACTTCTCAACTATCCTTGTAAGTTCAACATAGAGGGGCGGGGGATCTGGACAATAACTTTGGGCCAGGCGCAGTGCGATTGGAGTTGAACAAATTGTAGGTTATAGTAGTCTCGCAGTAAAGGTGACGCTACTCAAGGAGTTGGTTAAACGAGACATATGGTCTACACACCCTCGAGCAGTGCGGAAGCTAGCCTGTTCTCCCTGGAGTGTGATTCTCTAATTTGAGTTAGTCTGCGGAGTAGATGAATGTTAACATTTTCGGTGTGACGGATATTAGGCTGATTCTTCTGTGGTTTGCAAAACGTACCGGCATCCTGCTTGGAGATCGGAACCATGATCGACACCCCGAAAGGATGGAATCACTAATTCACACCAAACTTTGAGGACAGAGCTGTTAACTATTTGACAATTGCCTTGCCACGGTACTTGAACAGCTTCGGGTGAAGTTAGTCTGAGGCGATACCCTTGAATTTCTTCAAGCGACGAAGCTCAAGGCAGGGCTCCCCTTCGGTGAATGATTCCAACGAGTCATTTCAATTAGGTACAATTGTTAAACTGTTGAAAGGAGATTACCAATCGGACTGAGAGTGGAAGTGCTCAACTCAGTGGTCTGTGGTTGTTAGTGATTCACCAGCCTTACAAATAGCCTCACTGATTCCAGCTCAACTTTAGCTAGTGGCCCGCATCATCTGGAAACGCTTGTAGAAGTTTCCGGCATGAGATGCTGTCGCCATCTCCGAAGCACATTGAGACCAAGTTTCGTGATCATCACGCGGGCTTTTCTTGGGTTTCTGCTTGAGGTTGTAGTGGATTTCACCACTATTTGAATCAGCTGAGGTAATTGTGACTGTCAGACAATCTCTGAGCGAACGGAGATTCATCTCAGAGGGCAGCCAGTGATTCCACAGATTGAGTGACAAGAATAGAGCATTGTCTTTTACAAAAAATTACAGAAGAGTAGTAGGGGGAGTTGAATGGTTGGAGCGAACGTATCTGGTAAAAGCAATTTGATAAGCTAGTTAAATTGTGAGGTTAGCTAACCTGTTGGTGCCCAGCGTTCTGTGGAGACGGCGGGACATCAGCCTCATGGAAAACGTAAAGTGTTTAGCGCTGCGATAAGGTCAGTGTTACTATAAGGATCAGAGATCTGACCAGTTCATGGTGATGACATTAAATGCCTAACAGTGTTTGCTCACCAGTGCTTGTGAGGTATTGCTCACATCTAGTAGGAACGCTGAGTGAGCAATGCTGGGGTCTGTCGGTTTGTTTTGGTAAGAAACCTGGCCTCTCATGGGAATGTCTCTTGAACTTAAGCCGCCCACCTTGGCTTGGTCATGTCCTCCGTATGCCGTTGACCGACTTCATCAGCGTGCACTACACACCGTGACTTCACTAAGTTGGGCGAACCCGCGAGGTGGCCAGTCGGTAACGTCATAAAGGCATGGTAAAATTAAATGAGGGACCTGGCCACATTGGTGCGCGCTGTCTCTTTGGATGGGCTTCGGGATGGTCCACACCATTGTTTCGAGACGTGGCACAGTCACGCATCTAGCGGCGTTCCTGTTGCTAATTTTTATTGCATTCCGATTAGTTTAGCGCATTAATTGTGCATTCAGCCTCATTTCCTCAGCTTTGTTATTAATTGTTATCCTGACGACTTCCGTCGCGAACCATAGTTGTTTGACTGGACTGAACTGGCACCGAGCGCACGGTGCTTGTGTTTCAAGGATCCCCTGTAGCTCATGTAGATGTCCGTGCAAACCAAAGCGTGACCTTAGTCGACGTAGGTGAACAAAATCGACTTGCAATCCCGTACGTTGTCCCACCATCTGGAGCTGATAGCATTGTGATCGACTTGTGACCATCCTTGCTTTAGGGAAGGGGTATTGCTTCATGACGGTGCACCCCACCCCCCGAATGTCCGAATTTCTTGCTCGAGAGAAGGAGTAACCTGTCCTCACATGACATGAAAAGTCTATTTTCATTATCAGATTGACTCTCATCAATGATTTGATAACCACCATGGTGATCTTCGCATGGTAGCACGCGATTAACCTGTGCATTGAAGCCTCCAGCAAGGACAGCGACGTCCGCTTTTTCAGTTCTACTTAAAATATGGCGGAGTCCGTGATAAAAATCGTTTTTAACTGATGCCCAGCTGCAGTCTATTAGAGTGCAGGCGGAGTAATTACGTCTCTCTTCACGATGTCTGTTGATCCTTCATGAGTGTTGAAGGCGGATGGCACACAGTCGGCAGTCATTCGGAAGCCATTTGAGCAGCGCGGTCTCTGTTTTGTCACTCAACGCGATGCCAACATCAGCCAGGCTAGTTACGGAACTATTTAGTTTCGTGATCAGCGGGGAGCGTTAACTTAACCACGGTGCTGGAGGCCTTTAGTCAGATATCGAAGACAAGAGACTCTAAAGTGCATGCTGGACCCACCTGCTACCCAATCTGCATGCGAGTCGGTATATTGTAGACTGCTAACCGGAATACGAATTGGTATCGGAGATGGGCTACTGGTCGGACTCCTCGGGTATCGGTGGAACTGGCTTCGGAAGGAACGATAACTATTCATGAAAGTACAGCTGGTGATGGGACTAGATGATATGTAAAGTGCGCGGGTGCAAATGAGTGGGGCGTAATCGTACTTGTGGAATCAGTGGTTTTGTGAGAAGCCGCGACACAACCCGGTTGCCTAAGCCTAAGTAGGGAGATATCTTAGGGATACCACCCCGAGTCCTGGGCTCAACTGTCTACCCAAAATGCAGCGGAGCAAATTCAGGGAATTTCACGCATTAGAAGTTAGCGACCAATTGTTCGTTTCATACGCATTTCCTTTTGTCGGTTGCCAAACAGCGGTCCTATCCTCCCCATGAAATCAGCAGTAGACTTCTGGACTGCTACGCTCCACAGGGGTGAAGCGGGTCGTAGTGGCATTATTTAGTAGCGAATCATCCGCCACGCCACAGTGTTATTAGACAAACTTTGTAGGGAAGACGCTTTTCGTGTGAAAATCCACCGCGTTCTGGAACATTACCGCCGAAGTATCCACTGGAACAGGATGAACTAGCCAGCCTTCGGTCAGTCGTTTCCTGTTGTTGCGACTCCATCTAACTATTCCACTTCTCTTCTACATTACTCACGATCATCGATTTTCTCCGACTCATCGTCCATTATTGTTTCTCTTATAGCAATGTGCTGTTGTGTTGCCCTCCGGGAAGCAAAAAGACTGGGCCGCGATCACGAAGCCGTTTATTAAGATTACGCTCGAATATTTATAGCGTATATATACTCTATTTACAACAGTCCGTTTCAATGGCTCCTCCCTGTTATTTGCCTTTTGTCGCTGGCTTGTTCGCCACGTTCACTCTGTCTTAAATCACCTTGACTTTCTTAGTGGATGTACGATTGGTGGGAGTGGGTCTGCACGCTTCTTCTCTCCGTCCAATACCACAAGCCTTGGCTCAAGGGTGCACGAGTATGCACTTCTTGGCCTGCTGGCGCCTGATTGGTCACTTGCACGTTCACTGGATGGTTGCAGGCTGGACGCGATTACTGGCCGACTATTTCCTGATTGGCTGACCAATCTGCTTCCGGCAACATGCTCACTCCCTATCGGTCAGGCCTGTGACGTTCGATCAGCATTACAGCATTTCCAACCCCCATCACATGGTCCATAGGAATAAGATCGCAGTCTACACTAGGTTGTCCACCTTCGACTTCAACCGGACATAAGCTATCGGTATCGCGCTTCTCCGATCCTTTGCGGCGTTTCACGAATTCCTTGTTTCTTTTACCACTTGGAAATCGGATTTTGGGTTAACGGCTAATCTGATGTGACATCGGAGTGCACTGATTAACATCTTAACTTTCACGGGGGATCACATAAAACAACCATCTGGTTGTTCTCCATTGGTTACCGCAATTTCGCTTCGTTCCTTTCCTGAAACCAGAGGCTGATGCGGTCGAAAGAGCTTGTGACATGTGGCTTGAATGACCCTGAAGTATCTTATTATGTCACTTGAAGTGTTAGAACGTCCCCAGACAGTACTAAGCATCCGATTGGATCATCCTTGGTTTTATTCATCGAAATAATTGCTAATTAAGCACCCGTAACCTACTCCTCTAACTGTCTTCTCATCCAGGCAACGAAATTATCCCCGCAGAAGCTGCTGTCCCTTTCGCGAACGTGCCAAGTCCTTTCCAGATCATTCAACCTGCGACACTAATTCCTGCTTCCATCTTACCTACTCAGTCTGGCAACGCTGGCACCTCTCGGCCGCTCTCCAACTCCCCTCCTGTGATCTTGAGTGCACGTCAGCTGAGGACACCGTCCACTCTCGTCACGAAGCCCGCCACCGCCGTTTCATCAACTTCGAATTTGCTCATACCAGATGCACCTATCGTGTTGCTCACCTCATCCGCGCAGCCGGTTAACTCGATTAGGCCGACCAACGCTGCTGTGGCCAACGCTATTAAGGCACGCCTCATATCTCCGAATCAGCGTCCCACTGTCAAGAGAAAAGAGCGCCCAAGCTACAGACCGATTGCTCCATCTATCAAACCACCATCACGTTCACAGATTGCGCCAAGGCGATGATGCTGTTTACATCGTATGTTATACTTTCCTGAAAATCACTATCCCATTCACCATTCCGTCCATGTTCCCCATGTTGCCCTAAGTCATGTTGGTAACTGCATTTAAAGATTCCTTTGTTCTAGCGCGTACCTTTTAGTAACTGACTAAGTACAGTGTTCAGCATCATTTTTAAGACAGAAATTCGATAGCGTGTTTCAGGTAGCACCAAATGAGCTGATTGGAACTATGAAAACCAAATGTTTCTATCACGTCGGGTTTACGTTTAATTTTAATTTTTCGTTTCAGCTAAGCAATGCGTTTTCTTTTTTTCGAATGCTCGCCTGTGACTGATCCATTTGCTCTCTCTAACCGTATAAAAGAAGTGCTCTTGTCCTTAGTATCCACCTGATACTAAAATTCGATTGTATGTTGTGTTTCTTTAATTGACATCTTGATCATGGCTCAAAGACGCTGCTGTGTTCATGACCGAATTCATTTTTGTTGTCTGTGGGCAGCTTACTACAAAGCTGCAATGCAGAACCATTTCGTCATTACTGAAGTCTGCCTACCACGCATATTTGGAGAAGAAACTGAAAGATCAGGATAGGAAGTGGACGCCACATATTGTTCCTATGTCGTGCAATCTTCATCTACCTCAGTGAATCAAGGGAAACGTAAGATGCACTTTGCAATCCCCATGGTGTGGAGACCGACGTAGGATCTCATGACAGATTGCCTCTTCTGCTTAACTAGTGTCATTGGCTTCTCCAACCGAAACAAGGACAAAATTCATTAACCCGATCTTCCATCAGCTATTTGACCTGTTCCACATGATTTCACCTTACCCATTCCAGTGTCTCAAGTGAACATTTTACTTATGATGAGTAGTGATTCTACATCACCTGATTCTTACATCTTTGGAAACTTTGATGCTGATGATGTCAACCCACATCTTATTGAACAATCAGAGCTGAATGACTTGGGACGTGACCTGAACTTGTCTAAAGACAAGGCCGAGTTGATGGCATCTTAGCTGCAGCAGTGGCACTTACTGGAAACCGCAAAGCTGCTGTAAACAGAAAGCGAACTGTTCACCTATCCGGTTTCTATGACACAAGAGAAACCTTTTGTTATTTTTCCGACGCGCAAGGACTGGTGAAGGAGCTTGGCGTAAAGAATATCAGTGGTGAATGGCGTTTGTTTATTGACTAGTCTAAGAGTAGTCTTAAGGCCATACTGCTTCACAATGGAAATGTGTACCCACCTATGTCTCTGTTGCACGCCAGCAATAGGAAGGGTACTTACGGATGTATGCAAAACATACTCACTGCACTGAACTACGACATGTACTGTTGGAACATCTGTGCTCACTTCAAAGTCATTTGACTCCTGATGGGTATGCAAGGAGACTTCACAATCTATTGCTGTTTCTTGTGCTTACCCGACAGTAGAGCAACTCAACAACATTGTACAACCAAAAAGTGGCCCGAAAGGACGGAGTAGACTGCAGAGAAAATGAGTGTAAAGCACACACCTCTTGTGCAACCTGATCATCTCTATCCATCACCCCTGCACATCAAGCTTTGTTTGATTAAAAACTTCCTCAAAGCCCTCAAGTGAGATGGTTTTACGTTTCGGTACCTGAAACAAATGTTTCCGAAAATCAGTGGTGCGAAACTCAAAGAATAGCTACTTATTTGGCTTGAAATTCGCCGAATACCAACAGGCAGTACTTTCGAGTGCCAGTCGACTTCATTTGACTTAGAAACGTAGTGATCATTCAAGGCAAGGTGTACGGCATTTTTTGGGTAGAAGAAAGACAGAGAACTACAAAGAAATTATAAAAAACTTAATGCGGACTATCGAGCTGTTGGTGCTCGAATGTCACTCAGTATGCACTTTTGCATAATCACTTTGACTTTTTCCTTGAGAGCTTTGGATCTGTTTGCGATGAATATGGTGAGCGTTTTCAGTAAGACATTTCAGTCATGGATCAGCGCTACAGTGGCATGTACAAGCCTTCTGTGATGAGCGACTTGCTGATTTCTGCAGCCTGAGGGCACTAGATCGTACAAGCGATGATCTCGGCGAAGTCATTATTTCCTAATGCCAAACTGCAGTCAGTAGTTGAGGGCGAGTGTAGCAGTGATGTTTCACGCCTATTTGCCACATACGTGCATATTGCATATGATGTGATTACGTACCTTTGCATATAATTCCTACGATCTAGGCTGGACATTAATGAAAATAACCCTTAGCTTATAACAATGTAACCTGACGTCCTGGGTAACATCGGAATGCATTTCTATGATCAGTGGAGTTTATTCTATAAGGTAGAGACATTGACATTTCTCTTGTAGAAAATAAATTTTCCTTTGGACTGTGTTATCAGACACTGATAAAAGTTCCATCACAGTTTTCCGTTACCGTCACGCGTATACGGACAATTCGAACCACCACTGCAAGTCTACGAACATTTTTTGTTTGTTTGTGACTTGGTCATCTATACTGTGTTAAGCATTCATCTGATTTTGGCGGTTATTTGTGTTTTCATTGACTCACTCGTCTAAGCTGTTAACTTTCACCGTCATCATCATACACATTAGCCGATGGTGAGAAACACACTAACTAATATGCCGCAATACTAACGGTAGGTGATCAAACATTACAGACTACCAAATCTAGTGTCGTATATATATATATATATATATATATATATATATATATATATATTCCTTGTGCCCCATGCTGAGGCTGTTGTAGCATTCATGATGCTTCTTCACCGCAGTTGGGCTAAACCAACATACACTTAAACTAGGTCTTTTTAATGTGGATAAACTTCGTTACGTTTTATTTGGTTTGTTCTGCGTACTTGATAATCTTCTCCCAACTTGCACACCGCTCATGCAAATTGTGGTAAGTGTATCGCGTGGTATTTTTTTAAATAACTCGGACATTTTGTACTTATCACGGATTCACTTACAACCAATTTCTTCTATATGCTCATTTAGCGAGTATTTATGTCGTCATGTACATTTACTTTATTCGATATCGGCATTTTGAGTGATTGGCTGTTGTTTGACATCACAGGTGTGGCTGCGCTTGATGTGCATGTTGACAAGGTGCCTACCTGTCTATTACTCACTACCTCGTCCATACTGGCTCCAGGAGACAGTTGGTCGTTGCTGGAGGGGACGGGGTGCACGGTCCTTGTGGTCGTGCTAGGCTCGAAGAGTGGTTCCATGCAGTCAGTGTGGAGCGGACTACGGTCCAGCCACCGCCTTGTGTGCACTTGATTTTCCAAATACAGCATGCTTGTGTTTGCCTGCGAAGGAGTGTGGGCCGGCTCCGTTGATGAAACGTGGCTCCCATCCGCATGCCTCCCGGTCTTATTCCTTCGGGTTTACACCGGATATGGGGTGTGTGGATGAAGCTGTGGGTGGTGCAGCGCAAGCCATCCATGGTCCCTCTGTAGACGCAGGCGTCCTGTGGCTGGCCACAGTGACAGGCAAATCCGAAATCGGATGCCGCCAACCATATATATTCACAGTCTGTTAACAGACATTGCGCCACCAGAACCGTGGCAGAGAAAAGTGGGGAAGTTGAAAACACGAATTGCGATTAAAACAATGGAAAATGATTTTTTTGTTTTACGCACGTTATTTTGAATTTTTTTGGTTTTGTTTTGTGGGTTTTTGTATATATTAAAGGGAGGATAAAATCGCAGAGCAACATTGATGCCACCGATGTCTGTTGCGCGCCATGACATCCAATGTTTCCAACCACTGAGATTCAGAATCTCGTGGTCCCCAACCTGGAAGACGGTCTGGTCCGACTGCCGCCAAACTTGAAGTTGCCTTCTTCCGCTCCTTCTCCACATCATTGGCTGTCCACCGCGGCACTTTTTCCAATCGCTCCCTGGGAGCGCAAATAGCACTCGATGTGGAAGGCGATGGGCTGGCATGCACAAAATATTTTTGAGCCAATGCATGTGATGTCGGAGAATAACATCCTGAAGACTAGCACCACTCGTTCCAAGCACTCGGTCTCGCACCTCCGCGTTGCTTACGTGGTTTTGCCACCACACCCGAGCAATCTTTCGTAGACAGCGATTGTCGAAGATTGACAGCCGCTTCATGTCTACCGAGCGAATAGACCAATTCTCACAGCCGTACAAGAGTACTGCACGGACAGAAGCATTGTACACTGTCCTTGAGACTGACATCACGACGACACCATAGGTGCCTCAATTTAATGAATGCAAGGCGGGCCTTTGCAAATCGTTGTGAGACTTCATCTCCAACACCGCCACCAGCCGTGATGCAACTCCCTAGGTACGTAAAACAAGGGACTTACTCCAGAACGTGTCCAGCAATGGTGGGCTCTGGTCCAGGCACCTGCCAGTCCTGGAGCAGCGTTTTACATTTTCCCGGAGTCAAGCATAAGTCGTACTTAGACGCGTCCATCACTAAGCGGTCCAAAACGCTTTGAACGGTTTGTGGGTCGTCCTCCAGCAAGGTGATATCATCGGCGTAGTCCAAGCCCGTGACTCTGTGTCCAGGGAGGAGCTCGACACCGCAGTTCTGGACACCTTACAGGGCTCTTTGGACAACATCTTCGATGGCGAAATTGAAGAGGAAAGGTGAACTATGGCAACCTTGACGAGCACCGCTGGTCACAGCAAATGAAGAAGAGAGCGTGCCGTAAATCCTGACTTTGCCCGACGTATGACTAAAGTTTTTTCAAGATACTTACAAACTTGTCGGGCACACCTTTCTTCAGTAAACAGTTCCACAACGCAGATCTATCTACTGGATCGAATGCCGCTCGGTGGATGTGACGAAGTTCGAGAACTTGCCGAAGCGTAAAGATTTGGTCGATGCAGCCGAGGCCTGGACGCAATCCGGCTTGTTCTCGGGAAAACTCCTGTCTAGTCGTTGAAAGCCTGTGAAGTAGGACCGACACGAAAATTTTAGATGCGACAGAACTTAACGAGATTCCGCAGTAGTTGCAGCAATCGTCGCGGGAGCCCTT